GAACACTTCTACAATTGGTGCTCGGTCCCCAGTGAACATTTTTTGGAACTGAGAATAGCATTTGCCAGCACTAATCTAGCACTAATTTTATAGCCCGGTCACGATATAAAAAAGTTTCATTTTCGGGTAGCTCCCCTGTAAAAGGGCCAAAAATCGAGATTTTACACATTTTTCAATTAGTGCTAGCTCCCTATCGCAGCATAAAATTAACCGATGGTACCATTCGCCAGCACTAATTGAGCACTAAATAATGGTACCGGTCACATCCCAGCATTAAATTTGGGGGGGGGGCAGCGTAACGTACCTGAAGTTTAAGTTAAAGTGACCGATTTTTCACTTTATTTTTATTATTATATTTTCACTGCCTTTATTTCAAGAAAATTCACAAAAAATAACCAAAAGTACCTACGGACAACGCAGGCCAACGGTACGGAAAAGTTCGGGATTACCAATGTAATTCTTTTTATTTCATTAACGAAATTGGTTCAGAAAAAATATCTCAAATTTTCGACTGAAACAATCAAATGTAAAAGAATCCGATCCAAAATTTGCAAGTGAAATTGTCGATTTACCTCGGATACCACCAAGCCGATGAGCAGCAGTGTGAACGATCTTCGACTCACCATTTTTTCAACTTCGAACTATCAACAGTTTACTGTAAACGTATCAATTGATAAGAACTTTTTGATGGCCATACAATTGAACGCATCACTTTTAAACAGCGCCGTAGCCAGAAAAAAAAATTGGAGGGTGCAAAATCGAAATTTTTCTTTTGTTGCACCTTTGAAACCCGATTTTGTTGCACCTTTGAAATTTTTGGAAAGTGCAATGCACCCATTGCGCCGGCCTGGCTACGGCGCTGCTTTTAAAGTATGGTCCTAGTAAGCAATACATTACCGGTATAATTTAATCCACGTGCAATGGCGATTTTAATTAAAGCTCACAGAATATTTGATGATGGATCAAACGATTGATGGAATTACAATTCCACCTGTGCACGTGTGCATACATTTTGCGTTCAAATGGATCGCATCGAAAATACGTTGTTTACGTTCACTCCTTTATCACCTTCACTATGGCAATTTTTAAGCAATTATTTTTCAGTCTTGAAATGTTTACTGGTGTAGCTATTTGAATATAAAAATGTTCACATCTTCGCAGCATGCTCAAAACACGTTCCGTTTCAAAGTCGTCTCAAAGCTAAAAAATAACAACAGATGGATCGTCGCTTACATGATGTAAATTTGAATGTGTTTGATCAAACGATATGACTCATACCATTGTGTTACATTCAGGCTCACGTACCATGGTTGCGTTGGTTTATATAGAACAAACATCCAATAGTTACAATATTAGCTCATACAAGGATAAATGAGTGGTCAGGAATAAAAATGACTAAAGTTAAACCACTTATGGATAACCGTAACACAATATTTTTGATTTTTAAAAGTGCAAAGTTAAATAAATTCTCTTCGCTTGAAAGTGAATCATAACATATCTGTGGACTATAGAAATCGTGTTTCACTTTAATTGAAGCAAAAATGTTCGATACACTTTCAAGCCATGGGAATGATGATTCATTTTAATGGTGGTTTTTGTCGTGATTGGGCACACGAAATACTGTATGAGAATCGAAAAAAAATTAACTTTTTTTCGATTTTTGCCTGTTTCGGATCGTCTACATGGGAAGTTTGTATGAAATCCTCGGAGCGCGGGTCGGCGCCGCTGTAATTCTGTAACATTAGTTCATACGGTGAACAAGCTGTTGTGTTACGAAAAACAGAGTCGGTCGATTCATCTCTTTTAAAAATGACGCGCACTAAATGTTGCACACACAAACAGGAGTGTGCACGTCTACGAGCGCATTGTACAAGCGATTATGAATGAACGTAATGAGAAGAAGCGTCGCCAATGTGTTGTATTGCATACAAATATAGTACACTTAATATTGTGAGGCACTAACTCCACATTACATTCATTCATAAGGGACAACCTTTGCTAAACGCCCGAACGGGGGGACCAATTTTTCAAAATATTTTTTCTTAGTAATTATAAACTAGCAAGTAGTAATTAGAAGAAAAAATTAGCAATTAGTAACGAGTAATTAGAAGAAAAAATTAGTAACTAGTAATTAGAAGGAAAAATTAGCAAGTAGCAAGTAGCAATTAAGAATTAGTTCCCCCGTTACTAGTTACTAATTTTTTTCTTCTAATTACTAGTTACTAATTGCTAATTTTTTCTCCTAATTACTACTTGCTAGTTTATAATTACTAAAAAAAAATATTTTGAAAAACTGGCCCCCGTTCGGATTTTGGGCAAAGGTTGCCACCTGACCATTTGGAAAAGGAACAGCATTTAATCACTTGTTAAGCGAGATTTTGTGCGCAGTTAACATCAATAGAATCGTAGTGAGCAACTCTGTTGTTCGTAACACAACAGCTTGTTTACCATATAAACCAATGTAATTACAGCGGCGCAAACCCGCGCTCCGAGGATTTCTTACAAACTTCCCATTTAGACGATCCGAAAAAGGCAGAAATCGAAAAAAAAGTTTTAAAATGTTTTTTTTTCGATTCTCATACAGTATTTTATGTGCCCAATCCAATGGTGTTATCGGCACATCGAAATTCGCGCTCCTTATCGAGTGCTTAATTTTCACTCCGAAGCCAAGTCACAACCAAAATCACCATTAAAATGAATCATCATTCCAATGGACTTGAAAGGGTATCGAACATTTTTGCTTCAATTAAAGTGAAACACGATTTCTATAGTCCACAGATATTTTACGATTCACTTTCAAACCCAACGAAACCATTGCCTTATTATTATAAGTAACACTTTCTGTAGAGATATGGACAGCTTTTCAACTATTCTGAGATTCCAATGAATGTACAGTGTACACACACGGAAATAAGTATTTATAATCTGGGATGTATAAAACAGAAACAAAAAATCGGTAAGAAATTCTTTCGTTGGATTTCTTCAACAAACATTTTATTTGAATGTGATGTCTCATCTTCAATGCGTTGATCCATTGGAGTGTGCATTGTGCAATTTTCATTTGATTTAATGATGAACGGCTCCATTGTCCTTGAGAAGTTTGCTGATATCCGTGTGGCCTGAAAAATAATACAGTTCGAAAGATCAAACCAATTTCTTACTCACAAAAAAGTAAAAATCGAAATTTTGTCCGTGAAAGGTCAAAGAATGCGGTCCAATCCATGAAAAAAGACAAAAAAAATATCTGTTTTGTCTTTGCGGCGGTAAAAGTAACTGAGATGTCAGAAAAGTCAATTGAGAAGTTTGAATTTGAAGTTTGTGGTTGATCTATTTTACTGACTGTATTATTTTAACCACACGAATATTTTTTGTCTTTCTATGGGTTTGACCACTTTCTTTGACCTCTTGCGGACAAAATTTTCTCTGTGAATATTCTTAAAATAAACATCCTGCATTACCATTAGAAATGGCATAATTTAGAGGTGTTCGACCGTGAGCTTTCAAATTAACATTGGCTTTATATTTAATGAGCAATTCAACGACATCCTTGTGACCTGAAAAATAATACAAATCGATGAAAAAGATCAAACCAATTTTGAACCAATATCTTATTTAGTGTAAATAAATATTGAACATTACCTTTCATTACAGCATAATGAAGAGGTGTCATTTTCAGTTTATTTTCACTATCAACATTGGCTCCTTTATCGATGCACAGTTTGGCGACATCTTTGTGGCCTG